TTCTAAAAGATACTCGTAATAGGTGAAAGTGTGAAACCACCATAACTGATGGTGGTTTCTGAAGGAGTTAAAGTGGAGAGAGTTGCCTTCCGTTCCCTCGTCCTGCATTTGAACAGATTCCTTTGTTTTGGTTAGTCTTCTCTGTCTCTCTCTGCAACACGCGTACGAAAAATATAACTAAAAGTCCTACCGTCGTGAAATCACGCCGCTTACTAATCTCATCATCCCCATTAAACTAAACGAATAAACTGTATTTTCAACTCTCTTTTTCTTTGCTTTGGAAGAAAAACGAAAGCCCCCCCCCCCCCTGTACACACTCCTTCTTCATTGCTTCACAAAGCCAATGCACCTTACTACTTTCTCTTTCTCTTTGGATCTGAGTCTCTGCTAGCTCACTTGCAGCAGGTCAGCTTTCCCTGCTTAAATTCTTGGGTTGGGTCTTGATTTTGTTTCTTTTTTACTTGCATTTTCTCATCTTTTTTAGTTCTTGGTTCTGAGTGTTGGGTTAAAGAAGAGAGAATTGGGTTCATTGACCGGTGTTCAGGTTCTTCTGCACTAAGTATTGAGAAAAAATGATTCCTTTGCCTGTTCATAAATAGATAACCTTTTGCTTTTAGTCTGGTAGTCTTGTATCCTTTTTCAATCATGTAATGGAATTATATAAGTTAATCTTTCATGCTTATGTATGGTCAAACTATGAATATACTTTCTTGCTCAAATCTAGTGCCTCCATTTTTCAACACATCTCTGTCTCTCTCCTGGATTTATGATCAACATTAGTTTTAAGGATCTCTTTGGATAAGAATCTCCGGGAGATGATTCAATGGCTAAAGTTTGAAACATTACAAAGGGAAATGGAATTTTTTCCCCATTTCTTTAATGACATTGATTTTGTTTATTAGGACGGCACCAACTGATTATGGTTTTGCTTATGTTGTTTTCACTGAAGCAGAACCGAACAAGTGTTCCTTTTATTGGCCAAAAAAAAACAAGTGTTCCTTTTGTCTGTTTCAGATAATCATTGCAAAGAACGATTAGAATATCAAGAGCATGTAAGCATCATCTCATGAGAAATATATATTATTGGTGGATTTGGTCTTTCAACATTTGTAAGCATCTGACTTTATTAATACTTTTGGTAACAGAATATGCCTCAAGGCAGTCTGATATCAGTTGTGTACAGGTCATTTGTTACATGTGATGATCCAAAGGGAGTCGTCGAATGCGGAACAATTAGAAGGTCCAAAAGTGCTTCTGAGAAGATGGAGCATAAGAATGAAGGCCGGAAAACACAGAACAGATCGAACGTATATGTGTCGCATAAGGAAGAAAGAGAAGAGGTGGTGTCTAAAGGGGCCATAGAAGAAATACATAGCTCATCTTCCTGTCAGCTCTTAGAGGTTTCAAGAGGAGCTCACAAGCTGAATCAGGTAATTGACTCATGGTCCAAAGGGCTTTGGTATGATGGCCATTCGAAAGATATAGCAAAAGATTTGTTGAAAGGAGCACTTGATTTGCAAGACTCTCTAAACATGCTAGGGAAATTGCATGAAGCATCTCATTATATGGCTAGGTTGAAGAAGAAAGAAAACGAAAAATGCGATAATGTGAGAAATGATCAAGCGATTCAGAGAACGAATTCTAGTCCAGTTGCAGAGCGAAATTACCAAACGGGAAGCCAAAATCCACGTCTTTCTGCTGATGGTTCTTCAAGAGATTGCATTGAGGAGCTTAGGAAAGTAATTAGAGACAGCCTAGCTCGGCAAAATCTGTTGCCAAACATAAATGCTGAAGAAAAGAGATGCTTCAATAGAAGATTTCTGGACTCAGCTTCAGAAATCCCGTCCACAAGCTCGAGCCAATCTTCAACTGTCCAAGCTGACAACTTTACCTCCATAGTTTCATCTATCTCTTCAGCAGCTCTGGAGAAGAAGGCAAAGGGCCCAAGTTTGATTGCAAAGCTTATGGGCCTAGAAGAAATGCCTTCAAAATCATTACAGACAAGTTCCCAGAAAGATTTGGAGAATAAGAAGATTTTCAGTCAACAGAGGCCTATATTTGAAATTGATACGCCAAAAGTAAGGAAGTCTTGGTTTGTTTTTCAGAAGGAAGATCCAGAGAGCAGGACGCTGAAGGACATCCTTGAGACCATGCATTTTAAAGGACTTCTGAAAAGCAACTCCATCAACGAGATTAAGCCTGATTCCCATCAACAAAGTGACTTCTTTTCTGAACAGAAGTTGATTAATAATAGCCCTCCTATTGTGCTCATTAAACCTCGACGTGATCCAAACCTGCGACCACAAACAAAGTTTGCACCAGTTTTTCAGGATGGAAGCTCAAACACAGAAACTATGCTCAAAAAACTGAAAGTAAAAGAGGATTCTCCTTCCAAAATAACCCACTCCAATAATAGAGGTTTGGACTTCAACAAAATGAGCAGAAGATTGGAAGCAAAAGAAACTCCAGTGAAGAGACTTAGCCAGCAGGAAGGTGCCAAAGACAGCCAAGAGAAAGAGACCAGACCAGTAAAAAAGGAAGTAAAGATTAAACAGAGGCTTTCTACTAAGATGAAAAGTTCTGGGCCTATAACTCATCTATCCCTGAAGAAAGAGGAAACTGACAAGATACCAAAACCTGTGATAAGCGGCAGGAAAACAGTCGAGAAGGAGGTTGCAAAAGCAAAGAATTTATTGAGGGCTAATAAAGATCAAGCCAAGGTTACCCCTCCAAAGCCCAATAAGCCCGAAAATGGATCAAATGTTACAAAAAATAAAATTTCCAGTCAAATAAGTGCTACTGCAAACTCCAATTCTGATTGCACACCACAAACTATGGTTGATGGTCCCAGTGATCTGGAAAAGAGTCCAACAAAAAAGGCTGTGCGCAAGGGTACAGCAGTTAAAATAACTGTGAGTCCTTTTAAGTTTACATTCTGCTTTTATAATTCTAAATTTCATTAAACAGCATGTTGACATATGAGATTTGAAATTCCTCTGCTACATGTATCAAGCAATAACATTAAATGCAGTTTATCTTCTGTGCAGAGTAAGAAATTAGAATGCAAAGGAGATCATATTGTTTTGGAAGGAAAGAGTTTTGATCTTACATCTGAAAATGATACTGTTTTGGAAGGAAAGAGGATTGATCTTGCATCAGAAAATGACACTGTTTTGGAAGGAAAGAGGATTGATCCTGCATCAGAAAATGATACTGTTTTGGAAGGATATAGCACTGAAACTGCAGATCAACTTGCTATAGAGGAGGGAACAGAAGCCACTGATATTCAGATTGGAGGTAACACCCTTTTTAACCGAAAATTTATTAAATCACAGTGTTGTAGGTGACATAAATCAGCTGCCATTTGCTCACTTTAGAGAAGTAAATACATATAGACATGCATTTCTGATGTAATTGCATGTAGAATGCATGTCATACTCAAATAATTACATGTTGAAATTTGCTGATTTTCTCCTCTAATGCTGATACCTCTCCTGTCCAACAAGAACTTTTCGGGAAAAAATTCAAAGCAGTCAGCAACATAATATTTGAAAGCTATCAACATGTTGAGAAACATGACTATTAACTCAGATTATCTAACCTTAAAAAGAAAAGCATATAGCTTTTGAATAAACTTAATTGGATACAGCGCAATATGCTTTCTCATTTTGTTATTTTAAGAAAAACTTACGGGATGAATGATGAGAAAACATTCTAGGACCTCCAAGTCATAGGTGGAGTGTTTATCATCATAAATATTCTTTTTTCCCCATTTTGATGATATATATTTGGAGTGAACTATTAACTGCCTTTAATTAACCATCTAATGGAACTGGAAAAATACATTCTAATATGTCAGTTCAGAAAAATGTACTCTTGTACTTTTTGTGCAAAATGTAGATGCTTAACAAGTTCTTTTATTTTCTTTTTCCCCTTTTTTCTTTTTTATAGAACACTGCGATAATAGTGAGAGTTCTGTTTGTGATGTTACCCTGGTGATTACTGATGATCATAACAACAGAAAATCTATTGGAGAAGTTGATGATAACTCCATAATTCCCACTGGAACCAACAGTGAACACTTCATGACAGGGACCAGTCTTAAGGCTTTGCTATTGAGCAGTCCAGCTTTTCTCAATCACGCAGAGGAGCTTTTTGATTTTAACGTGCATGGTCCTACAACTTCACAAAATTTTGGCATCGGTGACTTCACCAATTCCAATACACGGCTCTCCTTGGATTGTGCAAATGAAATTGTTCGACGAAGAAGCTTTCCTGATTCTCAAATGATCCACCCTCCGTTATTAACCCTGGTTGGAAATGCCAGAAGCCATATCTCTTTAGATCGTTTGTTAAAGGAAACTTGTGATGGTATTGAGGCTCTGAGAAGCTATAGTGAACTTGCTGGTGAAAACTGTCCTACTGATAGTCTTTACGCAATGCTGGAAAGAGATATAAAGCGCAGTGAAGTTTTAAGTGGAATATGGGACTTGGGTTGGAGGAAATGCTTTTCTGTGGATGACACAATGCAAGTAGTGGATGATATAGAGAAGCAATTATTGAGCGGGTTAATTGAGGAGATTTGTGCCTAAAGTCTGCTTTACGTACCATCTTCTTAAATGGTTCAACAGATGTTCTGCTTCAAGAGGTCAGTGTTGCAGCATTGTAAATAAGCTTACTTTGGTTGAATAAAGGTGGCAAGAGTTGGAAGTGTCAGCCATATCTCGGATTCAAAATTATATTTCAACTGAAATTTTAGTTGCTATTTGTGCAAATGTAAATTTAGATTTCAGGCACTGAAAAAGAGTTAAAGCCTGGCACTTAGGTGTATTGATATCTTGATCAATTGAAATATGTATATAACCCTTTTCTTTTTTTTTTTATATAATATGAATTAGTTATATCATATCTTTTCATGATTATTAAAATACATATGACCTAATGTAAGTGTCTTTGGATGCAAATATTCTCTTCAAATTTCGTAAGTCGAGCTCAACTAAGGAACTCAATTTTGGCCCAAAACAAAACAAAAACAAAGAAAACTTGCCCATTTTTACTCAGTCAACCATTACACCTCCGTCTGTCAAGCTTAAATTTCAAAGGGCAGGGCAGCAAACCTGCAACCATTGAAAAGGAATGGCGTTTGCCAACTGCCAAGTCTATGAGAAGTAGCTTGCCCGTTGAAAAGGACAACCACCATATTAAAAAAATACAACAGATTTCGTAGTAGCAATAATTACATTATTCCAAGTCCATAGTATTTCTTTTTTATCAAATGCAGCTGAAGTCAAGAATCCCTTATCCTACTTCCTTGCAAACAGGCAAATTTGGAGTACTGTGCGTCTCTACAGATTCAGAATAAAAAGGACATTTTAACTACTAGTCTGCCATTTGAACAGAACTCTTGGCACCGGCATCTTACACCCTAATTTCTGCTCGTACCCTGAATCAGTCACTGCTAACAAATAAAGCTGTTTTTGGTATGGCTGGCCTGGCTGCGTTTTGTTCTTCTGTCAGTCTCTTCTCATCTTCATAATATTAAGAAGATGCTCCCTTGAAGATAAGGAAATTGAGGGTCCCCAGAGCAAAATAAACGAAAGTACCTTTTGTATGAGTGAAGAAGCACCCAAAGTTTGAACCCACCACACATTGCCATACGCCCCCATATCTCTCGTCAAATTCCTGCCAGAAATTCCAAACATATGAACATACCACTAAAGATGCCCCAAACCCAAAGCCAAGTTTATACCTTGTAATAAATACAACTTCATTCAAACGAAAACAGTAACAGATAAATAAAACAGAAAAAAAAAGGGTTTAGTGAAAATGAAAAAGAAAAACTAGCTAGAAGCAAATAAAGACCTTCTTGATGTAGGCAGCAATTGAGATGCAGTCAGAAACATCATAGAGATCTAGTGCATGCGAAGCAGAAGCCATGGCTTGCCTTTGCATCTTCTCTGGCATGTCTGTTTCTTTTATCATAGCTTTGCCTTCCAACATCTCTTTTTTAATCCTTTCTTCCTTGCCCTCTCTCACAGCCTATAAAAGATTCTTCTGTCTCTCAAGTTTTGTTCATGCATGTATCATTTGGCGGTCTTCAGCTATAAATATATCTATATATAAGCAAAAAAGTTAAAAAAAAAAAGCCTTAAAACCAGAAGTTTCTATGTTCCACAATGATATAGAACAGAAGAGAGAGTAAAAGAGATCATTATTATTGCGTATAAATCGGAGAACCTTTTTGAGACGGCGGCACGTTGTCCAACCTTTTTTTCTACATTTGTTTTGTCAGCTTCTTCACCTCTTTGCTGAGTCTTACTTTTTAATCCCTTGTGGCTCCCGTCTCATCATCTCTACTTGTAATAATCCTTGGATAATTGTTAACCAAAGTTAACTTTTCCTTTTTCATTTTTATAATAGTAATAACAATATTATTATTTTTGAACAATTTATCCAATAAAGCTAGTATTGCTTGTAAATAAGACGGGTAATGTTATGAATATTTTTATCGTAATTTAGATGAATTAAAGAAGAAATTTAATTAACGTTGAAAAATAATATACGAGAAACATGGCTTAAATTATCCAATTTGCTAATCAGCCGTTAGTAGTACAGGTTAAGATCGGTTTTTTTTTTTTGAAAATTAGATACCGGGTCGGGGTCGGTAGAGTAAAAAATTTTCGAGTTCAAGTCGGAGTCGGATTTTAGTCAAACCCGATCAGATATATATAAAAACATTATTTTTTTAATTATTTTTTTAATTTTATATTTAATTTTATATTTTTTTATATATATTTAATTTTATATTATATTTAAAATAATATTTTATTAATTTTGGATCGAATTGGGTCGGATTGATTTTATACAATATCAAATCGAATCGGATACGAATTCGAGTATTATATATTTAAAATCGAGCCGAGTTCGGGCCGAGCAAAAACACACCCAACCCGACCCGTTGCCATCGCTAGCTGCAAGAAACTGTAACGTGTTTTCGTCCTGCGGGCCTGCATAGTCCAAATAGTTGTATGGGCCAAAGGTTGGAAAGGGTTTAGTTCTTAAACACTGTAGCCCCATCTCCAACAAGGAAAATTTTTTATAGGTGTTTTTTTACCACTGTTGTCAATTTTTTATTTTTATTTTTTAAGTTTAGTTTCTATTAGCCATAATTCAAAACATGTTTGGTTATTGTTGCAAAGTTTTAACAATAAAAAAGGAAAAATGTCACTCTTTAAAAATATGTTTGTAACAGTGTATATGAATAAAATTTTTAATAAATTATTTGTGAATATAATTTGTTTGTATTTATTTAGTAAGTTTATTAAATTATTTAAAATAATATTTTAAGATTTATTTAATAAAAAAATTGAATACAAATAAAATTATTTTGAAACTTTGGACATCAAATTAACAATATACAACTTAAAGTTAAAAGGAACACAAATGTAATTTACATGTTAAATTATTACAAAAAATGAAATGGATTGATAATGTGTATTTTATATTAAGACAAGTATTAAAATTGAAGCATTTTGTTCTTTTTCTTCTTTTTATTTTAGAAAAGGAATAAGTGAGGGAGGGTTTCAAACTTAATGATTCTTAACTTTTCTAAAGGTATGACTATTGACCAACATTTTTGTGTTAAGCTTGTCTTGGTCTTCCACTTGAATTGTACGCCATTGACCATTGGTAAGTCTCAATATCATGTGTGTTGAACCTAAATGGTTTTGGAATTGTGAATATTCAATTAGTAGTTTTTGCATGCACGTTTCAATTTCACATTAACCTTTTATAAGAGCTTTTTCTTGATAATTTTTCTCAACAATAATTGAACTCATAATTTAATCAAAGATCATGCTATTGAAACATTAAAAAAAAAAAAAAAACTCATTAAACAAATAAAGAAAAAAGCTTTTTTTTTTTTCATTTTTGTTAAGTAAATAATAAAATTTATCTTATTCTCCATTAATAGAGTTTTTAAAAAGGAGTGACACATTTCTTTTAAAATAGATTAAAAATAAAAAAATAACAATTCTTAATCTGTAAAATTAAAAAAAAAAATCTCACCATATAAAAACAAAATCTTAAATTAATTAATTAATTAAATATGACAAAAAAACTAATTAATAAAGTTTTATGGATTTGGATTACATACGTGGCTTTGAGGCATAATGCCAGCCGTCGACAGCTCATCCACAAGACAGCAAAAATACGGTTAAAAAATTTAACCCCACGAAACCCGAAAAAAAAAAACAGCTTATCAGATAATTTTTATTAAGCTTTGATTAATCCGCCCTTAAACCCATAACTATTATAGCGCTAAAAAACATAAACATCTCCTTGAAAGATCCTCCAATTGTTCTTCAGCTCTGATCTTACCCGCCCCAATGACCCGACCCCATTATTTTAGTACTATTCTTTTATTAATAATAAATAAATAAATAAATAAATTAAATAAAAAAGGAATAAATGGCAGCCAGATTAAGCGAGGCGGATTTCAAAGAGTCTTCTCTTATCTCAATTGCCAAAATTGAACCTCTCCCTTTCTTTTTCTTTTTATTATTTTGTTGTCTTTCTTCTTCTTTACTGATAAACAGTGAGTTGAGAGAAAACGGTTGAAGCCAGTTAGGGTTTTTGGGATTATTGAGAAGGACAATAATAGCGGGGTGTTCTGGTGATGGGGGATGAGAAATCGACGATCGTGATGGCGAGTAGAGATAGAGAGAGTAGAGATCGAGAGCTTCTAATCCCGGTCGCTGACTCCGTCCACGATGATTCTTCCAAGCCTTCTTCTTCTTCCTCTTCTTCGCATCACGCAGGCCGCGAGGTCTCTCTTTTTCTCTCTCATTTCTTTTTTTTCTTTTTAAGTTGTTACCATAAGATACGACCACTTAGGGGATAAAATTAAAGACTGATGGTTGATAGGGTTCTGTCCAAGATTTGTGATAATGGTTGCCTTTTCTCTTGGAGGTTTCGTATATATCTGGGATTCATTGTCTAGCTTAAAAAACTGTGTAAAGCGTGTTAAAGCCCATAACGTAGACTATATTATTACTTATATATTTGTATTCAATATCTGTTTTAATTCCCTATGATAAATTTAGTAAGTTGAATTATAGGTTTGAATTTGAAGTTACCCTTCCTCTCATGAGACTTGTTAACATTGTTTTGTCTGGTTGATGGAGTGGGTTAAGAAAATTGATGGTTTCTAATGAAATCTTTCAAGACAAATGTTTTCAGCCTGTTTCCTGTATAGGAACTGTATGGTTATACTTGTTTATGTACTCATGTAATGGTACGTTATTTTTAAAATTTTTCATGACAAGCTTTGTTTTATCCAGACCTTTTACAAAGTTTTCCGGAGCTGGGCTTCCAAGAAGTTTATGACAGGATGGTAGGCGGCATTGTTTCAAAGCCTTGCTTTAGATTTATGGGCTCATTATAGATATTTTTGCAATTATCATCTCTATGATATTTAATGATTTGCATGGTCCTACTATTATCTCCTTATAGAAAAATGATTCGCACATGCTTCCAAATCAGCTTCTTGTATCTTATGTCCTTGATATTGAGTGAAAATGCTTTCACTAATGTATCAAACCTAAATATCTTTGTTTAGCTTTTCACTTTTAATTATGATTATAGTAAATTTTAGAACTTTGTTAGCTGTTAATTGTTGGAATAAGAGATAAGTTTATTTCCCAAATTATTCAGCTATTTCATACACAAAGTGCTTGTTGAAAAATAAGTGTTTCAGTGGAATGGTTGGGATGCATTGTTCTCTCCTTTCATTGGCATTATTCAGCCATTATTCCATATAATTAGTTTCTTCATTCAAAATGCTTTCTTGGAAGAGTTATGTTGGAATCTTCATTTGAGAAGTGAAATGGAGGTGACAGATTTAATTCTGTGACCAGCCTGATACCTTAATTTAGTTTTTCCTTGTTTCCACCTTTTGTCTTCTCATAGGTTGATTGTCTTGAAATTCCTATGCTACTTATCTATCATCTTACAAAATGGTAGTTCTTGTCATCATGAATTAGTGCTAACATTTTATTTGATGGACTTAGAAATTTAGTAGATTTAGTTTCTAATAGTGAATGTATGTTTATGGCATTTTATCATATAGAATTTCTATTGTCATTCACGATGCTGTTATTGCAGTTGCTGATTCATAGTTGTTTTGCAGTGTCATACTGTTTCCTATAGCAATCACTTTCTACATAACATGGTGGTTTATTCACTTTGTGGATAGCTTTTTTTCTCCAATTTATGCTCAACTTGGCATTGATATATTTGGTGAGCATCTCACTTAGTTTGCTGCTAAAAACTTTCCTATGCCTTTCCCGTCTAGACCTGTGAGCTTGTTTCATAATTTGTTAAATCTTTTACTCTTTTTCTCCTTTAATTGGATCTTGGAGATTGTAAAGTTATGTTATCTTTCCTTAAGGCTTCTGAATGACAAGGATTGTTTTGCACTGCATTTCTTTTTTTTTTTTGGGAGATTGTGGACAATAGCTGTGATAATTGTGAGAGCTTGTATGATATTCCATAGACTGGAGGAATCTTTTTTTTTTTTTTTTGTCATCTGTCATCTTTTCCGAATTTTTCCTTATGCCTACAGCCTACATAATACTTATTAGCATTCTTTGTATGAAATTTCCATGAAGCAGACTTCAATTTTATGGAAATAAACACACACATAGATATTCAGGACAGTTTAGCCTACGAGAAATTGCTTATTAGATTGCAGTTTTACATATCTTTAACATGATATCTTGCTATGTATGATATCTACTGCAAGAAAGCTAAATTGATTTTCACACAGTGGCCTTTGCAAATGATTTGCTGATATCACATGTATCTAAATATTGATCTTTTTCATTTTTTTTTAAGAATGTCTCTTTCAAGAGTATGTACCATCTGGTTAACTTAACAGGCGTCTTAATGTTTTCTCCTCCTTTTGCATCTTGGATAGGTCTTGGATTTGTAACTTCTATAACATTCATCTTCTTGGTTGGGGTATTCATGTCATCGTGGTTGGGAGCATCTGTCCTGGGCCTTGGTGAGTGGTTTATCAAGCGGATGCCATTTGTTCGTCATATCTACAATGCCTCTAAGCAGATTAGTTCTGCTATATCACCAGGTGTGCTTTTCTGCTGGCTTTCTTCCACATTAAAATAAATTATTTGAGTTGGTCACTTTATTAAAATTGGTTCAGTCAGTGACAATCTATATGCTACATCACTTTTTATGTTTTACATCTTTCTTGTGCTTCAGATCAGAACACACAGGCCTTCAAGGAAGTAGCCATCATAAGGCATCCACGTATTGGTGAATATGCATTTGGGTTCATCACTTCATCTGTTACTCTGCAGGTGGGCAAATGTAGTTTTTGTTCCAAAACTATCATTTTGGATTGGCTTCCCTTGTTTTTCTTATTTTCTGATTTCATAATCATCACGCTTCACATGATCTTATTGGCATGCTGTCTGCATCACTTTTTCTTTCCACAAAACTCTTGGAACTGCTTGTTGCCAAGTGGTTTGGTTCTTGATCATGGCATTTTTCTTGGGAAAGACTGCCGACTGTACAAAAATCTTTTTCCTGAAATGTAGCTAGTGATTCTCCTCTCTTTTTGTCCCAATGTTATTGTGTACATCCCATGTTGTGGTGACACAACTGAAGCTCAGGAGGAGTTTCCATGCAGCAGCAGTATTTGACATCTCATTATCTACTACTTTTTTTTTTTTTTTAAAGAAATCTCATCATCTATTTTTATGTCCTATAAACTATTAAAATTTTGGTTGCTTGACTTTCATTTTAAAATATGAGCAATATCAATAATGATGTTTTTATTATTTTTCATTTTTAAAATGCAGACCTACTCTGGTGAAGAAGATCTATGCTGTGTCTATGTTCCCACGAATCATCTTTACATTGGTGATATATTCCTCATCAATACCAAGGATGTCATCAGACCGAATCTATCAGTCCGTGAAGGAATTGGTGAGGGATTCCTCTTCTTTTGTTGTCCTTATTTACAAACACAAGGAAAAAAGAAGGGTGGGGGAGAGGGGGGGGGGGGGGCAGGGTTATGTTTTGTTTTCTATTACCGATTATTATGTCTTGTTATGGGCCTCCTAACTCTTTACTCCCTATTGTTTGGGGTAATAGGAAGCCTTGTTAATTGCATTGCTTCATGGGGGTTATTTTGAAATTGCCCCATCCATGAGGATGGTTTCTCTATTCTGAAGTGATGGTCTGTTATAGTTGTGGAATATTTATATGAAAAAGGAAAAAAACAGAATGGAGTAAGGGCATTACTATAACTTTTCCTGCTTCAATTTAAGCTTATATCTTATTCATTCTTCCATTGCAGAAATTGTTGTGTCCGGGGGGATGTCCATGCCCCAGATCCTGTCAACACTAGATACACGTTTGCAAATGGAAAGTAGATCTGACAGAAGCTGAGGTTTAAGGTGACAGTTGTAGAGGTCTTTATTTACTGTATTTTCTCTGGTTTCAGATTTGAGTCATCAGAGCTTTTATGCAATCAAATGTGTTGGTAATGAAGGATTCAGAATTAGGTTATAAATTTTGTTGGTTGTGTCTGATTCTGGTGGCTTATGTACGTTGCTTGTCTACATAGAATGTTACACTTTGTTTTCATATATAATTTCGTTGAGATTATGGGGCAGGTGCTTTGTGTTGGATTGTGTTTCTTCTTTCAACTATTAGAACGGCAATGTTAATGTACTGAATATGTTCAAGTCTCTACCTCTGAGATTCGGTTCAGTTGAGTTATATATAGCCTGGTTCTGTTGAGTTAGCTTCAAGGTTGTCTTTGGCCTTCCTTTGGGACTGGAAGTTCTTGCATCAGTTGTTGCCTGAAGGATCCATGTGTGGTAGACTGGTAGTGAAATGCAATTAGTAATATTTAATCATGGTATTAAAATTTTGAAAGCAAATAATAATGTAATGAAAATGGAATTTTATTAACAGAAATTCATATCGATATGCTGAAGCAGCCATGCGAAAGGGTATACAGAAACACGAGGATTTCGTGATCCTTCAAAAAATTTTCCTGTTTTTCCTTTCTTTGAATTTTTTTTTAAAAGAAAAATATTAAGAAAAAGGGAACGCTGACGATTTCAACTTTGAAAGGTCTTGTTTGTCGTATTTGGCTGTTTTTCTCTTTCCTTATTTCCATTTTGTTGTTTACAAAGCTAGTAATGGTTTTGATTGAAAATCGACCGGCCGATGATTATGTATTTTGAATGACAATCAAATGTCCGAAATATTTCATGTTGAAATGCCTAATCTTCTCTATGAGGTCGATTCTCCCTTTCTTTTTCCCCTCTTCTGAGGCTCGTTTAATTTTGTTTTCATGTTTTTTAATTTAAAAGATTTTTGGAAGAAGTGGTCAAGTGATGATTGAAAAAGCATAGATCAGCTGATAATCCCCTTGATTGTTAAACTGTCAAGTCTGTTGCTCCCATCCGATGACCCATTTTTTTTATTACTACTATTAACTCTGCTTCTAAGGTGATAAATTTTGGTTTTTTTTTTTTTTTTTTCTCTGGGGACATTCTCAACTCTGTCAACGAGCAAAATTTATAACATCTTTTTTTTTTTTGGTTATAAATTTTTAACATCGATCGATGCGACTATAACATTATTTACTAAAACTAGAAATTTTGCCAACTAAGTTCACATAGGGCTTAATTTGCTGCGACAAAACCCATCTCAAATCTTAATTGAGATTTGAGGCTTGGTGCAAAATCGCACTCTTTTATCTTTTAAGGGTCGTTGTTTTTTTTTTTTTTTTTAACTCTATTTTATTTTGAGATAAAGGGTATAAATTTACTATTACACTTAATGATTCAAATTTATCATTAATTTTTTAATGACGTATTTTATAATTAAATTAAATTTATTATCATAGTGTATAATTGAAGGAAAAAAAATTCTTAAACGTAGAACAATGCCAAATAACTCTTCCCATCTGTCTCGTATCTTTTGCTTTTTCGGTTTATAGAAATGAAAATTTTCAATTATAAAAAAAAAGTCTTCAAATTAAAATAAGAAGCATAGTTCAATAAAAAAAAAAGTAGTTATCTAAGTTCTAAAAGGTTAAACAAGCTGAAAACTTTTCATCGAAAAAATTTGGAATTGCAATGTTTGGGAACATGGATTTAAAAATAACGGATTTAAACTTCGGTTATTATATAAATTATGAAAATAAAATTTACTAATTATACAAAAAATAATTAAAATTTAATATAATTATATTTAAAGGTATAAAAAATGAATTTCAAATTTAAAAATACTATATATTTCAATTTTACAACTAAATAAACATTCAACAAATTCATAAATTTAAAAAATGATCTTGAATATTGTATTAATTTTAAAATCCAAGTTTCTAAGACTACCTAAACTAATTTATGAAATCCTACCAGCTCCAAGTAAAAACGACGTCGAGATGCTTTACTAACTATGTTCATCAACCTCCGTCAAACATGACGTGAACAGTATTCCCACCCAACAAACAAAATAAACGGAATCACAGCCGACACTCGTCCCCGAACCTCCAGCTTCACACGTCCCATACCTTACGTCCGAACCTAACCTTGGTTGTACGGTAGTAGTTCTTACATTTCCCCACTCTCGTCTGTCTCCCCGAGTCCCTTCCTCCCCTAGTCCTCATTGTAAACTGTCCCACACAACTCAACTGATTGATTACCGATCTCTCATCTTTGGAAGCAATTCGGTTGGAAGATCATGATGCACACCAAATCAGATTCTGATGTAACAAGCTCAGTCGACCCATCGTCTCCAAGATCTCCCAAACGTCAACTCTACTACGTCCAAAGCCCTTCCAGGGACTCCCACGATGGGGACAAGTCATCGTCCGTGCAAGCAACGCCCGCCTACAACAGCCCCATGGAATCTCCTTCTCACCCTTCCTACAGCCGTCACTCCAGGGCCTCATCTGCTAGTCGTTTCTCTGGAACCCTCAAGAAAGAAAGGAAGAGAAACGAAAAGGGTTGGAATGAGTGTAATGTTATTGAAGAAGAAGGTGATTATGGGGAGTATTTTTATGGAAGGGATAAAGGGTTGACGAGGAGGTGCCAGATTTTGATGGGTGTGTTTGGGTTTGTGGCGGTTTTCAGTTTGTTTTGTTTGATCATCTGGGGTGCCAGCCGCCCTTACAAAGCTCAAATCGCTGTTAAGGTTTGCTTTTCTGAAATATACAATTTTCTTGTCGATATGTGAGATAATATTATTTAATTACCCTCTGATTCCTTTAGACATAAGATACTCGAAAAAAGTAATATTAAAAATCTTAAACTTTTGGGTCTTGTCAGTAACTTGGGATAGTTCTGTTCTTTCTGAATTTCTGCTCTACAAATTGACTTGTCTTAATGAAAAAATTATTGTTTTGCAGAGCTTGACAGTCCATAATTTTTATTTTGGAGAGGGAGCGGACACGACAGGAGTTCCAAGCAAGATGCTTACCATGAATTGTTCAGTGAGGATGACAGTATACAATCCTGCTACTTTCTTTGGTATTCATGTTAGCTTCAATCCAGTCAACCTAATGTACTCAGAAATTGCAGTTGCCACTGGTCAGGTAACATTTTCTCGGACATTTTACACAACAATCACTGAAATCTTGGAACAAGCTCAGATTATCCCAAGTTAATTCTACTTATTTATAGTAGCCGTTTTTGTCTACCATTTTGGTTTCTTATTGTTTCTATTTATATGTTTCTGATTGCAGTTGAAGAAGTACTATCAACCAAGAAAGAGTCATCGTACTGTAGTTGTGACTCTCCGTGGAGATAAGGTTCCTTTGTATGGGGCTGGGGCAAGCTTAGCAGTTAGGGCTGTAAACGAGCCGAGCCGAGCCGAATAATGAGAAGCTCGAGCTCGAGCTCGACTCACAATTCGGGGCTCGATACTCGGCTCGAGCTCGATCGAGTTTTATTTTTCAAGCTCGAACTCGATTCGTGATCGAATTCGAGCTATTCGAGCTCGCTCGATTAAGCTCGATTAATATATAAAAAAAAGCTCGATTTTTATACTCGAAAAAAAAACTCGATTATTCGAGCTCGAGCTCGAGCTCGAGATCTTTTACAACTAATTTTTATCAAACCTAATAAATATTATATTTTCAAGATAACAACAACAATAACAACAACAACAATAATAATAATAATAACTTACACAACAATCAAATTTAAGCAAATAAAAGTCTCATTAAATGATTCAAATACAACACACAAATATAAGACATAATGAAACTTAGAAATTAAAATCCTAATTGAAAGATAGTAAATATCCAAGCAAATAAGTTCACAAATAAGTTACAACAAACCAACAACAATACATATGCTGCCTTCACAATATTATGTCTTCAAATGAACATTGGGCTCATATTGCTTTTCAATAAACCTATACAAAAGAATAATTACAAAACAAAGAAATTATAATTAACAATAAGAATAACGATAAAAGTACCCATGCAAGAAAAAGATTGTAATATTATTACAATGATCAATAACTTTAAATTTTTAACATTAGCATCAACATGGATTTTATCTTGTCAGTTGTCTTATAATCAAAGCAAAAAAATATAAACAATATCTTGTCAATTACCTTAACATGAGTTTCTATCATTAGTTAACCTATGGTTCGTAAATTATAATGCAAAAAGCTCAATCTAGACTAGCTACTACCTATTTTTCTTTAGTAATGTTGTGACAAATTAAAAGTATTTAATAATAATATTTCATACCTGTATAGAAGACATTAGATATCCTCACTTTAGGGAATTTTGAGTGCAATCTCAATTGATTTCTTCTCTTTCTACATAGATAAAGTAAAGGAAAATAATAGTTAAAAATTAGATTAAACCAATGATAGTCACCTAATAACAAAATAATAATAAAAAAAACTCACTTTGTTCTTCTTCTTCACTCCATGAAGATTCCGACACCAATCTCCTCCACAAAGTAATGCTTGCACTGTGTCAGGAGATAAAGAAGCACGATAAGTATCAATAACTCTACCTCCTGCACTAAAGGTAGCTTCTGAAGCCACTGTAGTGATAGGAATAGCAAGTATATCCCGAGCCATCTTGGATAAAATACGATACTTCAAAGTGCTCGCTTTCCACCATTCCAAAGCATGAAACTTAGTGGAATCTCCTTCACAGATAAAACAGCCCTCAGCTAGGTAGACATCTAAATCAGACTGTTGTGGTTGAGCAGTTTCAACTGATTTTACATAATTTGCAAATTCAAACCAACCAGAAGAAGAAGCTTCTATATTCATACCACTAATACCATTATCATGTACTTGAGTTTCAGCACTATGCTCATTGCCAAATTGATACTCACGAGCATATTCATCATAAATCTCATAAAGGGCATCTCGAACTTTAGCAATATTTTCTTTTGCTTCTCTATCAGGGTACATTCGAGGAAAGCAAAACTCAATCACCCTCATTTTGCACCTTGGATCCAAGATTGCTGCTATAGACATCAACAAATTACATTCTCCCCAATATTTATCAAATTTACTCTTCATCTTACGAACCATTGCTTGAACAAATTCATTTTCATCATTCATCCTTTTATCCAACAACACTTTCACACGATAAACTTCATTCAGAAACAGGTTTGAAGTTGGATAATCACTTCCAGAGATGATTTTAGTGGCTGAATTAAAAACTTCTAAAATCTCACAAACTTTCTCCACCTTTTCCCAATCTTCATGACTTGGACAACATTCATAATGAGATTCTCGCTCTTTGAGTCTCGAAAACACTTCTTTGAATTTGATTGCAATCGACAACATCTCGAATGTCGAATTCCAACGTGTTTTACAATCGAGAATGAGTTTCCTATCAGGTAACTGTAACTGCTGTACTATATCAGAAAATGAGTTAAGTCTTGCCTCATTTTGATTAATAAAACTGACACTTTCATGAACATCACCAATCACATTCTTAATCTCAGAAAGGCCATCTTGAACCATGAGATTTAAGATATGTGCACAACACCGAACATGAAATAATTTTCCTCCACAAAGCAACATCCTATTTCTTGAAAAAGTGTCTTTAAGAATTCTAATCGCCACATCATTGCTTGAAGCATTGTCCACAGAAAGTGTAAACACCTTGTTTTCAATTCCCCATTCCTTTAGACACTTAAAAATACAATCAGCAATCTCAACACCGCGACGAGGAGGAGGTATGTGAACAAAACTAATAACACGCTTTTGCAATCTCCAATTAGAATCTACAAAGTGTGCTGTAAGAACCATGTACTCAATCTTTTGATTACTTGATTTCCATAAATCTGTTGTCAAACTAATCTTGCTGACAGTCTTCAACAATGCCTTTAATTTCTTCTTTTCTGCTTCATAAACTTGCATGCAATCTTTTTTAATAGTATTGCGTGATACCTTTTCCCATTCAGGCATCCCACGTTTTTGCATCATGTTAAAACCTTCCTCTTCTATAATCGAAAAAGGATGCTCGTGCATAAGTATCCAATGTGCAGCTGCTTCTCTCATCTTTACCATATCAAACTTGCCATCTGTGAGAGCAGGTAATATCTGTACATCACCACATGTGTTTACTGGCTGAAAGTTGATCATTTGTTGTTGATTCTGAAAAATTTTTCTCTTAACACAAGTTGTCAAATGCCTCTTAAATTGAGTTGTACTTTTACTTGTATTTATTGCTAGCTTCTTCTTGCAATGGACACACTCTCCTTTTTTGGAACCATCAGAAAGAGTGACTTCTTTGAATTCTAACCAAACAGCAGATGTCTTTTGCCTCTTTTTCTCATTACTTTCTTCACACTCTTCAAGGTCAGCATTATCACATTCTCTATCATTGGCATCAATGATTGGTGTTTTATCTGTGTTACCATTAGTGGCATCTAAAGCTTCATTCATTGAATCATTACCATCATCTGACACAATTCGACTAGTAAAAGAATTTATTGTCGGCTGAACTGGTATAGAAGAGATATCTGGTGTGGTTGATGACATGTTTAGTTTCCTATAACAAAAAACAAAAAAGACAAATCAAAACAATAATATAATTTTAGGATCAAACAATAATGCAAACAAGTTGTTAGAAACATGTGCGATAAATTTTATTGCCAGAAACATGCTAAACAAGTTGCGAGAACAAATTATTGGAAGAGTATAAAATTTTATTCTTTGGAAAAATATACTAATATTGTAGGAATTTTAATAAATTTAAGATTACCTACTTCGATAATAATTTCAATTTCTAAAATCAATTTCTTAAAATGAATATTTCTTATTAATTTTTACAATTATACATGCCTATTTAATATTTATATAACATTAACTCAATCTCATTAGAAATAAGTGTCAGGTTATATTCTAACAAATCTAATATGCATAAAAAAGAAAAGTATTCACATTAAACAGTCCCCAATAAATTAGTGATGAACTATATGGAAGCTCAAATTATGATTATGACTAAAAACAATAGAGCCAATGACCTTTTTTTTTTGTTAAATAATATGAACCATCCAAAAGTTTTTCTACTGATAAAGCGTATTGTGCAAGTCTTGAAGTGGCCCAAATTCAATTACTTTCTTGCTAATAATATAGAGACTTTTGGTTTACAAAATTCAGTATTTAAATGCAACTTCACAAAGAACATACTGCTTTTCACAAGTTTGCAACAAAAATAAAAATATAATATGATAGTGTTTGACAAACAAATCAGAATTGAGAATATCAATACTAACAAATAGCTATAACACCTTGCCCCATTTCATTGTTGTTCTCGATCTGCATCCCCACAATATTCATAAGGGTATTTAATTTAGGCATTCATAAAGGTATTTAATTAAGGCATTCTTATTTAAACCACCTTTTAGCATGAATTGGAAGCCTAACATAAAAACATTTAATAAAAAAATGGCACTCAAAAAGTATGTCATGGAGAAAAGGCTACGTTGAGGGATCGGGTTCTGTTCAAGCTACTGCAAATGTCGAATGGGTGGAACGAGCTTACCTTTTAGAGAGAGGAAAAAGGGCTACGTTGAGGGATCGGGTTCTGTTGAAGCTGCTGCAAACGTCGAATGGGTTCTGTTGAAGCTGCTGCAAACTGTTGAAGTTGCTGCAAACGTCCAATGGGTTCTGTTCAAGATCTGTAAACTATTGAAGCTACTGCAAACTGTTCAAGATATGCAAACTGTTGAAGCTGCTGCAAACTGTTGAAGCTGCTGTAAACTGTTGAAGCTGCTGCAAACGTCGAATGGGTTTTGTTCAAGATCTGCAAATTGTTGAAGCTGCTGCAAGCTGCAAACGTCGAATGGGTTTTGTTCAAGATCTGCAAACTGTTGAAGCTGCTGCAAACGTCGAATGGGTTCTGTTGAAGCTGCTGCAAACTGTTGAAGCTGCTGCAAACTGTTGAAGCTGCTGCAAACTGTTGAAGCTGCTGCAAACGTCCAATGGGTTCTGTTCAAGATCTGCAAACTGTTGAAGCTGCTGCAAGCTGCAAACGTCGAATGGGTTTTGTTCAAGATCTGTAAACTGTTGAAGCTGCTGCAAACTGTTCAAGATCTGCAAACTGTTGAAGCTGCTGCAAACTGTTGAAGCTGCTGCAAACTGTTGAAGCTGCTGCAAATGTCGAATGGGTTCTGTTCAAGATCTGTAAACTGTTGAAGCTGCTGCAAGCTGGCAAACGTCGAATGGGTTCTGTTGAAGCTGCTGCAAACTGTTGAAGCTGCTGCAAACGTCGAATGGGTTCTGTTCAAGATCGGGTTATGTTCAAGCCTTTTAGAGAGAGGAGAAAGGGCTTTCGAAAGGGTGGAACAAGCTTGGAAGATGGAGTGGGATTCGGGAAGAAAAGCCGCCGCAAGTAGGGCTGTTGGTGAGTGAGAGAGACGGGGAGAAAAACTGAAGGAGAAGAGAGAAAGAAAGAAAATAAAATTTTAGGGTTTTTTAAGTTAAGGGTAAAAAAGTAATTTTATAAATAAAATAATAAAAATAAATATATAATAGAAAAGCTCGATTAGGCTCGCGAGCTACTCGAGCCGGATATAAGAATACTCGAATTCGGCTCGATCGATAAGTCGAGCTACTCGAGCTCGAGCTCGACTCGATAATAATCGAACCGAATTCGAGTTTTCTTCGAATCGAACCCGAGTAGCTTGCGAGTACTAATGTATCATTTACACCCCTATTAGCAGTCTCAGATGATGGAGTTGGAGTTCCAATGAATTTAATCTTTGAAATTCGGTCCAGAGGGAATGTGGTGGGAAAGTTGGTGAGGTCAAGGTATCGGAAACTTATCTCTTGTTCCTTGGTTATTGACTCCCATAGTAGCAAACCTCTCAAGCTAAAAAATAGTTCCTGCCAACATGACTGAGTCTGAGAGTGCTGGTTCTCCAGCATCTACAGAAGATTGCTCTCCGCTTGGAAATGGTGGTTTTGGGCTGTTTTGAGTCATTTGCAAAGCTTCTAGTGGCTTGGTATGTGTGGAAGTAATAAATTCTTTAGAAAACAGTATAATCATTTAAATCAGTTTTGGGTGAAATTGAAAATTTGTTCCAAGTTAATTTGTTTCTATTTGGAGAAATATGAACTATCATCTTGGTGTAGGTTATATCTTGTCGATTAGGATATTAATTTTGATTCATTAAGAAGTTCCTTGTTTCCATTTACACCTCTATGGGTGTGTAGAAACTCCATGAATGATTTCTGTGATAATTGTTAAAACAAGATTTTATTCATATCTGTTGTTGCTATTAGCTTTTGTTCTACAAGGTTGTATTTCGTTTCCCTTGTGCGAGTAGTCTTGGAATATGGCTTGCCTTACATCAGTGAAGCATGGCGGCGTGTTACCATATAAATTTGTGCTAGCCAACCAACGTCTAGGGGAAACAGAAGCAACTAGAAAATTGCGACGTACATGATGAATAGAAACTTGTATAAGCAGCAACGGAAGCTCTGTTCTTGCTCTTAATGCATGGCCATTTTGTAACATTAGAGAAGAACATAGGAGTTTAAGAAAAGATTAAGTGTTTCTGAACAAAAGGAGAAACAAGGGGAACTGACAGATGATTAGGTAATTAGGTGTTTTTGAGTAAATTTTACGTGGGGAACGGGGAACTCTTCTCCACAAAACTATGGAAGCAACATTTAAACTTGTCTCCAGGGAGTTAGAGTAAGTGATGTTTGAATATCTAAATTTTGATCCTTCCCTCCTACAAAACTATGCATGCAAATCAGAGCTCTGAACTTATTTGCAATGCCAAATTTAGAGGATTTCCTTCCTCAATGAAGAATTTCAAGTCCTTTATTAGTATTATTAAACTGTAATTCAATAAATCAACTTGCACTGAACTAGAAATGGATCGATGGAAAACAGAAAATTGGTTGCATTAATCATTACAAGGGTCAATCTACATTCGCAGGAAGACCATATAACAGGCCAAAAGAAGGACCTGTCTTACAAGAATAGCCTTTCTACTAAAAAATGATAGTATTGCAGAAATTTTGTAAGAGAGAGAAAGAGAGAGAGAGAGAGAGAACTAAAAGCTCACAATGAGTAAGAAAAGAAACAGAAAGGTTATTAGGGAAAATGGCTTAAACAGCCAAAGGATTACTTTTCATATAAATCAGTAAGCCTGAATATATCTATTCAGATGCTTTGACACTCTCCTGCTTGTCAACAGCACAGCCACGCTCAAGTACTGTGCTACCTATCCTCTTTGGAGGCCAATATCGAAGTACTGATCTTCCTATGATATTCTTGGCAGGGAGGGGACCCCTAAACAAAACAAAACTCAAGAAATCAACAAAATGATATAAAGGGTAAATCAGGAGATTCGAAGGATCATGGATGCACCATTATCAAGCTGCTAGAGCATAGTATCTTACCAAACGTGGGAATCATAACTATTATTACGATTGTCACCCATCACAAAGACAGAGTTCTCAGGTATTCGCTGCAACATGAATAGCACATAGACAATTAGAAACATATGGCACAAACTTACAAATAAGGCAAAACTTCAAGCTAGCACTACTTGTGAATTATTTGTTCCTTAACTTAAGACCATGGTTTAACCTCTACGTCACAGGAAAGGTTTATATAAGCACGATTGTCTCCATACTCCTTCCAATGTTCTCCTCTCTTCCCCTCTTTCTTTCTATTTTTTGTCTTTTTCTCTTTCACGCAGGCAAATCTTATCTTAATGAGAAAGGCAAACTACTTGTATTACATAACTTGAAATAAATTTTCTACTTAATAGCTATCCCACTCATTTGGGCTTGGGTCAATGGAAAAAAAAAAAAATAGAAGCTATAGGATTCAAATATTAGATATCAATACTTACAATTGGTGTCATTTCATAAGAAGGTGCTTCATTGATGAACTCTTCATCTCGTACAACCCCATTAACAATAAGCTTTCCGTTATGAACCTGCATCGGAACAAATTTTCATATTTCAATTCTAATGAACCCAAAAAATAGTTAATAATGCATGTGTCAAAAGGAAATAAAACAAATGGGTAATAACTGTAATGGAATAGCATCTTATACGTAACTCAGAAAAGTAAGATAAGATGTCTCCGTGCCTAACATGTGGGATTGAAAGCTAAACAAAGTGGATAATTTGCAAAAATATCCTTTTACTCTATTGTCTTCCTTAGTTCTTGTGATTACACATCACAACATCCAACATTAATACACGTAATAGTTTTTCCAATACAGTGAGAAACAGAACACTATCAGGTTATCAAAAGAAGAAATATAGATGCTAAGAAATTGTCAGAGTAACCTCACCTCCACAATATCACCTTCCTTAGCTACTACTCGTTTAACGAAGACATCTTCATCAGTGTATCCTACTTCCTGAAGAACTGGTGGGCTTTTGAATATGACAATATCATTAGCACATGGCTTCCTGAAGTAGTATGAAACCTGACATTTTCAATTCAAAAAACTGTCATGGTATATGTAAGAATTAAACATGTTCACTTATTGAAGCATGTTTAAAGCAAAATAAGATCTGATGTTCACGTCATATCCCTTTTTTAGTTAGATTAGAGCTCTTGGTAAATCCTAAAACATGCATATCCTTCGGCGGTAGTTTATAAAGCTAACACTGACTGTCGTATCATAGTTTTTTTTTTTTTTTTTGGTTTTTGAGGCTTAAGAGGTCTTTTCACTTTCAGATTTTAGCATAACTATGAAAATCATTAAACCAAAAGCCTGCACCGCAGGCATGTTCCAGTTAAGGCAATCTAAAAATAAAATACTTCAACAAAAACCAACTTTGAGATCGCTTAAGCATCCAAAGCAAAAATTATACTTCCTTGAACCCTATACAATATATGCCTTCTTACACTTACCAATTTCAGGTATCAACAAAGGTAAGTTAAAATCTCATTAGACGAAGACACCTATGTTTAACATTGATCATTCCAGTCAAAGGTAAATCAGGCCTTTAACTCATCTTTAATCACTCCAGAAGTGCTGTTTTCATTATTAATTTGAGACAAGCATACTTAAAACTCCATTAAACTTCATTTCTTTGCCTTCACTGAAAGTTAAGAATGTATGTAAACCTTAACACTAATGTTTCACACAATTTAACCTAAGATGAAGCCATTAGCAGAAAACTTTAAAAGATAAACGCCAATCCTTATCCATAAAAAAAACATAAACACAAACATAAAAAATCCATAGCATGTAATCGATCTTTCCACTAGAAACTTTGTGCCAATTAACTAACTAACTATCAAACAAATAATAACTACCTTCTCAGCAACAATTCGATCCCCAACATCAAACGTAGGATACATCGACAACGAAGGAATATACCTCGGCTCAGCCACGAATGACCGAAAAGCAAGCGATATTGCCACAGCAGCAAAAACCGTTTTTGCATCATCTGAAGTAACATTCAACCATTCTGGCAATGACCCACTTTTCTTCTCTACCTCTCCATCGTCTCCATCCCCGCCGTCACCACCACCACCACCACCACCTCCGCCGCCGCCACCACTGGAGTCCACCACTACTTTATTATCCTCCCCGGAGTCCTTAACCCCATAACAGTTAAGTCTTTGAAATAGGTTTCTAGGGCCTAAAGTTGTCGCATTTTCTATCTTAAACCCCAAAGAGTCAGGAATTTGGGAGGGAAATGTGGAATGGGAATGGCTTAAAAGGTAGGGTTTTGAAGATTGGTGGAGATTGAGGATTGTGAGATTAGGGGTTTTGAGGGATTTGAAGGGGATTGAAGTGAAATTAGGAGTTTTAATGGGTTTGGAGAATAGGGTTGAATTGGGATTAGGGTTTTGAAAGAAAAGCAATGGAGGAACAGAGAGTAGAGATACCACCATCTCCACTCAAATAAGTCCAGAATTTAATTTTCCGAGGGATTGAAATCTGAGCGTATAAATATAGGGGGAGGGGAAATCCTGCGCATTTAATATTAAATATATTTTCTGCAATCGGTTATGGTATTGGTTGTTGTAGTGGGGTCCATGCCCACTTGTTATGTTATGATTTTATCAGTTGGCTAAAGACATACCAGAATCCCATGTAAAAAACCCCAAGAACTAGAGCAACATTTTTCAAAATTTTAAGGGTTTATTATAAAATAATTAATTGCTTTGCAATGGTTTTTTTATTTTTTTTATTTTTATTCCAAGTACTAAAAACTCTACAATGTTGCCTAATTTCTCCAGCTTTTCCAACAACCTGGGTTCTTCCCATCTTCATCATATATAAGCCTGTGCTACCTCCTTGCAAACATAGTTGCATTTGATGCAAAACCTGAAACCATAACTCCGGCGTCTAGATGTTCTATGATTAGCTAATTCTCGATCAATCAGGATATTACCCTTATCTTCAAACCAATCTGGTTATAAAAGGATGTGCTGTGGTCCACAAATGCTGTAGGGTTAGGATTCGAGGCGCTGGCTACACAACGAATCCTCCTAAGCTTTGGTAATCTCTAAGCCAAAGCAGGATCTTTTGTAGGAACGGGTCGCCCAGTTCCCTAGAATTTGTAATCCTGTCTAAAAGGAAACTACTAACAATGCCCAACACCAACTGAATGTGCACCCAAAAGCGTAACCATACCATTCATGGTTATAGTTTTAGCCCTGAAAGCCTGTGATACAAGACAATGTTGGCCCTGGTAAGTTTACTTCATCAGGATTTCAGACTAGACTGTCTAGCCTTCCTATAGGAACAGCATAAAAGTCCTCCTGCTAGAAGCCTAGAACTGCAGCATCTCGGGTTGCTCAGCAAGGGAAACCGTTGAAATGCATTCAGCCTCTAGGTTTTTCTTTGCTTCATCAATGAGCTCAAATCCACTTATGGATTGGCTGCATCTTCGTCTGATTGCCTTTTCAAGGAAGAGTCAGAATAGATAAATAGATGCTTTACAAGCCCATATATAGTATAATGTTATAAGCATATGGTGCAAAAACTTTCATGCATTTTCCCTTGATCAATTTTTTTATAAATTCAAACAACTATAATTTTAGTTTAACTGTGATTAAAAGCAATGTTTTCCTGCTTTTTATAGCAACTAGTCATCAAGATCAAATTCTAATTGGAGCATTTAGTACTCGATACAAATTCACTACATATCTGTACGAGTCATACAAATTCGTTACTCATTCTTCTCACGAGAAAAAGAAATATCCTTGCACATAACTCTTACTAATTAGCAAATTGAAAAAGAAGCAGAGTATGCATAGGCCTCCGAACACTGTGATACCGTACCCTCAAGAGAGCAATTCTCTAGAGATGATCTTTTATTTGGACTTTAGCCTTGAGGAAGATGCATGAAGGTACAACAAGAGAGTGAATAATGACAAGAAGATTTGATTAACAAACAATAAATTGCACACTGTTATGAGACTCTGAGGATAAAAAAAGAGACTCGGAAGAAGAGATATGACTAACAATCATTGTGAAAAAGTCATGTTTGTCTTTAGCAGGCTGCAAATATTTTCATGATGGATTCAGATCATAATATTTGTTACATTCAATGCAATTTGCAAACTAAACAAGTAATCAAAACTTTCCAATAGACTTGGCAGCCGTTATTCACTGTTTGGAATGATGTAAATGCAGACATATACTGAGCAGAGAATTTTGGGAATAAATAATGACATTATTTCACAATATATACCTCCACAAGAATCACAACTGCTTGGAAAGTGAACAGCAATAAGCATCTACTTTGCACAATTGTTGCTAGTAGTAAAATGTAAAGTCTGATGACAGCGAACCACCTTTGTGGAAAATGTCAGGAAAACCAGCAGTCAATCTAAGGCTTTAACTGGCTTTAACAATTTCTATTTTTTTGCAGAGTTGCAAGCCATTTAATAGAAACTATATATAAATAACAAATCCATAAAAGTCTATCAAAAAGACAAAGTAATTACCATGCATGCATTGATGCTGCTACACAGTTATTTGGACTTCAAAATCTTGTGACATGAATTTTGAATGCACTTGGGAGTACAACAGCTAATTGGGCAAACCAGTTTGATGTTCAGTTGAATTTTGCACCAATAATAAACCACGTAGATTACAAATGATAAGCTGCAGAAAAAGATTAACATATCCAAAATTGCATTGATTCAGACAAAAATGTAGACTGTGCATTCCAATTTGGTAAATTAGTAACAAATGTAAAAACAAATGAACCAGAGCCTCTGCTTGTGTTTGCAATGTTCTGGACCCATGAAGAGTTCAGACTCTATCCCTTTTCACGTCCATATAGTTTATTCGGATGTTAGGAATACCGGAGATATTGAACCCACTTTCCAGAATAGGACACCATCTAATCTCCAACGTCTCAATACTTGAATTTTGAAGGTGGTGTGGCAGTGACTTCAACCTCGGGCATCTGTTAATCAACAAGAAATTCAGACATGGCATTATAGTAGTTTGCTCTTTTCTCTTGCCTAGGAAAGGAATCACCCCATATTCCCACTCTTCCAAATCATTCATGTCATGAATTTCAAGTCTTTTCAGATTCGGGAAGGGAATAATAGATGAGGATGAAGATGGTTGTTCCTCGTCTCTTTCCAGCCCTAAAAATTCAACTCCCACTTTCTTTACTCTCCTCATGTCATAGATCCAAAGTGATTCAAGGAATGGAAGTTTCCCCAAGGGAGGCAATCTCTCCCAGTTTCTGCATGAGCACACTGCAAGATGCCTTAGGTTAGTCAATGCCAACATCCAACTTGGCAATATGCTGGGGCCTCTGTAGTTATGTATCTCTAAACATTCCAAGTATGGAGGTGGCTGTAAGGCTTCAAGAACAAGTGCATCGCCATGTGGTATCCTCCCTTCCGCATTTTCCTCATCCATATCAAATTTTAATAACAGATTAAGGAGGCATTCCTTGCTCTGAAGTTTTGCTTCCTTGGCCTCATTCACATCTCTCACATTTCCCAATCCTCTAATCTCAAGATAATCTCGAAGGTGGTTCAAGCTTCCCAATTTCCCAATTGAAGATGTTTCACAATTACTGCCACCTTCCCCCAATGCAAACTCCCTTAGTGTTCGAAGACATGTTAATTTCTCCATTCCTTTAGGCATGGACCTTACTCTCCAAGTACCGTAATTCTTAAGATGCCTCAAGTTTACTAGTTTTCCAATTCCATTTGGTAATCTCTTCAGCTTTTTGCAAAAACTGAGGTCCAAGGTTTGTAAGTTATATAGTTCACACAATGCATCTGGCAATTCTTCTAAATCACCATTGTTACTCATGTTAAGGTATCTCAAATGAATCAAATTTTCTATCTCTTTAGGAATTTCTGTGATTGAACTACCAAAGGTAGTATGATATTTCATACTCAAGTCCAACGTCCTCAGGCAAGTCAACTGATTAAACAACTTGGGTAAGGATTCACTCATTATTGAACCATAAAAATTGCTTGGTTCAACAAGGAGCGTACGCAATTGTTTAATACTATAAAGGTAGGTAGGAAATGTGACCTTCTCTCCAAGCACCAACATTAAATGATGACCTTTTTCACTGTAAGTATCTACCTTGGACTGTCCAACACCACTGGCTTCTACCATGAAACACTCATCCTTTGTCAGAAACTGGGAAAAGTCATGGACTATATCATGCATTTTGCATTTAATTATGTTACCATCATCATCTCTTTCTAAGTTTTGAAAAAAAGAGCATATTGCTAAGTCTTCAAAATAATCTTGACCAAGGATTTCCATATCTTTGCTTTGCTTCTCCTTAAGGAAACCTTGCGCCATCCATAGTTTGATCAGCCTATCTTTCTCTATCACATAGTCTTTAGGAAATATGGCACAATATGAGAAGCATTGTCTTAAAGCAGGGGCCAAATCGTAATAACTCAACAATAAGGGAGGGAAAATACCTCTTTCAGCTTCCTTCAGCTCCCATATTTCACTATTCAAAACACTTTGCCATTGTTCTATAGTTCTTTTGAAGCGCATTAGACCCCCAATAGTCTTCACAGCAAGTGGCATTCCTTGGCATTTGGCTGCAATTTTCCTACCACAATCTTCCAAAATCCGGCATTCTCTGCTAGTCCTTCCATAAAAGGCTATCCGACTAAACAAAAGCCAACATTCTTCTTTGGGCAACTTCCCTAGTGGGAACAAAGTAGTGCAACCCATTATAACTGCAACATTCTTCTTACGTGTGGTCATTAAGATTTTGCTTCCCAAAGAACCACAACTGAGGGTTTCTTTGAAGGGTTCCCACTTCCTGTCATCTTCATTCCACACATCATCTAAAACAAGAAGAAACTTTTTTCCTACAATTGCCTTCCTAATTTGATGTAGAAGAGTTTGTAATTCAACAAAGTTTGTAGCATCTCCAAGAGCTTCAAGAATTCCTTTGGCGATCTTGATGTCATCAAAAGGATCCGAGACACTCGCCCACATTTTTTTGTCAAAATGATTATCCACAGCATTATCATTGTAGACTAGTCGGGCAAGAGTAGTTTTCCCGATTCCTCCCATCCCTAATATAGAGATAATTTGAACTTTGGATGCTTTTTCATTATTCTCTTCCAACAATATCTTTAAAACAGCATTCTTTTCTTGATCTCTACCATATACCTCAGTAACATCTATGAAAGAGGTAGTTATTCGATGTTCAGGTTCCTCATGAACTCCCCTCCCTAGTTCGAACTTGTACCTATCTTTCTCAGCAGCAACAAAGTCTAATCGGTCATTCAATTCTTTGATCTTCACAGCAATGTTGTGATGTAGCATGATTTGAGTGGAAGAGAAGGACAAACTGTAGCATAGCTTCTTCAGCAAAGGAGCATGTTCAGCTGCTCTTTCTTGTTTCTGAAGTTCTGATTTGAATTTCGCAGTATTCCACTCATCCAACACATCCTCCACATCGTAGGAAATACTTTTGAGCTTACATAACCAATATCTCACGCTGGCATCCTTCACCTGTCTTCTTTCTGCATCTTCAAGAACAGCTTGTATGGCCTCAAAGTTGCTGGTGAGTTTATGGATTTCTTCTTCAAGATCAACAGCCAATCCAACATGTTGCTTTATCTCTTCCGGAATGAACAAACCATCCAACTGCCCCAGGATCATGGAAAGAAGTGCTTTTGCCATTGCTTTTGTTGTTACTGAAATGGAAGTTAATCAATGAAAATAGAATTAATTGGTTGACTGAACAAGAGGATGAGACTGAAGCTGCTTTTCACTGACCCTGTTTTTTAACAATGAAAAAGGTAGACATCACCTCCTATAATGATGGAGAAGACAAATCTCTTACAATTTAACCCCAAAATCACTCTTAAAATACAACATGACACGTAAAATACTTTAAATTGGCTTGTAATTTTTCTTGAAAGACAACTAGACATAACTACAGAACCATTTGACTAGAATGGTTCTGCTGAACAACTTCAAATGGTCTTTAATTGATTAGAAAAACAAATATTAATAAGTAACTTCTTCAGAGTTAATATATATTTCCCAACTTTAAACAGCTCAAAACGTTTGAGAACTTTATTTGGTTATAGTTTTGATGATGAATTTGAAAGTTAATACTAATATGAAATATAAGCTTGAAATAAGTCATCCAAAAGTCCAAGCATATAATATAATTTTCCAACAATCAAAACTTTAAAAAGTTACATAACAAAGGTAAAAGAAAAGCTACGAACTTACCCACTGAAAGTAAATGCGATGAGAATCAGGAGAATTGCAAATGGTGGCGGCGGCGGCGGCGGCGGCGGCGGTAGTAGTGGCTGTAGGTGCCAAGCAGCGAGCGGTGGGAATGATGGTAGCAATTGTTTTCCTTTTGAAGCAACGCGAGACTCCTGGGTGGTGTTGGTTGGACAAAATGAGGAAGAAAGTTCGTAGGTAAGTGTTAATGGATGGGATGTATAACTGATGACGGATGACTAAAATTACAGCTAATAAGGTGTATCTGTAACAGCCTGGTTGGTTGAACGTGCACTAAAGATAAAGACTTTTTCGTTCTTAACATTTGTGTCTATGCAATACTATGAAGTGTGAGGCTTCCCGTTCAATTAATCTGTCCGACGAGGTGAATAATTTTGACATTAAATAATAATAATGAAAATGTAAATGATCCAGAGGTCGGCCTAAGAAATGAGGATGTGAAAACACTCCATGCCAAGCTTCAAATCCGAAAATTTAGAATATAATAATATCGTATATTCATGAGATGAGAAGAATTTCATAAATATGCAAAACATTATCCATGCAAAATAAGTTCTATAATCATTTAAAAGAAAATTTTCACATCTTGACAATATATAAAAATATTATTATGAAATCATATTTAAAATTAAAAATAATATCATACTATATTCTAAACTCATAACAAAAAAATCATATATATATCTTACATACTCAACTCGATTTATAAAATAAATAGATAAAATAATATATATTATATATTTTAACTCTAAATATATTAAAGCTGATTTTTAAGGATATAAAAATCAAAAAAATATCAAATCATTTATTTGATGTGTTAAACTGAAACTTAAGCAGTTACTCAATTCTTCTAATATTTTAATAATTCAAAAAATTTTTAAAAATCAAAATTTAATCCAAATACATAAATTTCATAAGTCAAACCTTTCACCGATCATTTTAAGCAAATTGAGTTGTGTGACAATTTTTTCAATAATTCGAAACTATTCGAAAGTATTTTCTTTTAACATATAAAGTAAATTTTTTTTAATATAGCAAAATGATTAGAATTGAATATAGATATGAAATTAAGGATTAAAACATAAAAATCAATAACAATATAAAATTTTCTACAAATATTTAATTTTCAACATTTAATAGTATTTTTTTAAAATCTGAATATAATTTAATAGCCATTTAATAATACTAATAGCATGTAATTAACATAATAAAAATATATTAAAATAAGTAAAAATTTATTAAAAATAATAAAATTAAAATTCAAGTAATTTATAACTAAATACATAAAATATTGATTGAAAATAATTTTTAAAATTATTAAAAACATAATTTTTTAAGTTCTAAAATTTTTGTATTTTATGATCATTTGACTTATTTTTAACTACAAAATCTCTAATATCTTATAGTTCCTAGAGCCAAAGGAAAGCATAAATTTAAAGTAAGAATGTAATCCTAGAACTTAGAATTTTGTTTTAGCAAATATAATTTCTAAAAGCCTAAGTTTTGAAGGCAACAACTTGACAAATTATCACAAACAGTCTAGATTTTTTGAGCTTCAGATTTATAAAACTTATTTTAGGACTTCGATTCTCTTATTTTATAAATCATCTTATCAAATCAATTATATCACTAGTATTATCAAAAGCACTTAAAATTCGATCAAATAAGTCATCAGAGTAAGAAGTTTCGATTACTTAAAGTTAATCGTCTGTAATTATTAAAAACCTAAAAATAAAAAATTTGAAACATTAAATTCTTTTAAATTACTCAACTAAATCAAGTACTACTTACAATTTCGCTGAAAAATTATTAGAATTGCCTGAAAATTGAAAATATTAAAAACCCTAACCTAATATTTGAGTTTTTATCACAAAAACCAAAAAATTTAAAAAGTAAGTCTTTCAAATCTTCAATTAAATTCTCAATCTTAACCATTCTCTTCTCTTCCTTAGAATTTTTTTTCTAATCTTTGTATTTTCTTTCTTTTAAGAGAAATTATCAAAGGAAAACTAGTAAATTTTTTAAAAAATTTTATAACATATGAACTAAGTCAACTAATTAAAATATGAAATTGAGGTTGGGTATTACACTCCACCTAAAAATTCTTTTTATTTTTTAAGTTGATATGGTAGTGGCTGATCATGATGTTCTAACGTAGGTTGATGCTTGAGTTGCTTGAACGCTTCTTTTTCTCATTTCTTGCTCTTTGGTTAACTCACCTCCAAACAAATCATTTTTCTACAAATTTGTGACCACATTCTTCTTCTTTCCCTTGAAAAGAACTGACTTCACTTCCATTTTTTTTTTTTGTGCCAGCATCTCTTTTTTGTGATGGATCATGGTAAAAAATTGAAGAAACAACACATGAACAAGAAAGAAAACAATTCCTGGGACTGGTGAATCACGTTCTTGGTATCAGAGAATCAGCAATACAAGGGAGAATGCAAATACATACTATATAAAAATTGAGTATTCACTTGTCTAAATAAAACTAATTGTGTTACTTTCACAAACAAATTCAAAGTAGCATTTTTCTGGCCTGTCTGATACCAACACTGTAGGAAGCCATTGCATTACCTACACAGAATGATTGTATAATCAATCATCCAATAAATATGAAGGTATGTGTTGAAGAACAGCTTCTTCAATATCTACAGCTTTGAGTCATCAGCATTTCCAAAAGTCCATGGTGCTGAAAAATCAAACCACATGATCTCTAGACAACCATCCCAAAAATTCTCATCAGTTTATGAACACCAATTTACATGAATTTACAAACAGCCCATGCATCCTATCCCTTCTAGTTAACTGCTTCTGGCATATAATCGCTGGTTGAACCAAAGTAAAACTTGCTCGAGAAAGAAACATAGATGAAGAATTGTTTTTCTTCAACACCATTTGAATTCTTATTTTTGCAGTGGATGATCCATTTTGGTCAGGCATGGCTACTCTAGGTATCTGCAGAACATTAGAATAAGGAGCAGTAAGTTTTTGTTTCTTATAAACCTTCTCCAAACCCTCTGCTGGTATCTCATCTGCATTATTTGATGCAACTTGATCAAAATTCTTTACAATTCTTCTTGCTTCACTTAGTAAACCAATGGCACACCAAGCATCCGCAACAAGCTTCATGGTGCTTCTCTCAGCAGAGATACCCTTATCTTCTATAACCTACAAGAGTTCTTCAGCTTACCCTGGCTGTTTAGCTTCCCCATATCCCCATATCAAAGTCTCATAAGTAGTCAAATTGGGGGAAACACCAATTTCACACATTTTCTTGTAAACTCTGGCTGCATTCTCCATTTTTCCTGCAGTGCACCACCCGCTGATGATGGTTGTGAAGATCACAACATTTGGATGCACATTGAATTTGCACATGAAATCAAGGAGTGACTCAGCCTCTCCTGGCTCCCCGGCACGAACATAACCTCTTGCCAGGATGCTAAATGCAAGGGCATAACCTTTTGCCAGGATGCTAAATGCAAGGGCATGCTAAATACAACGGCATCCGGTTCTATACTAGCCTTCACCATATCATCAAATATCTCCAGGCATTTGTTCATCAGCCCTGCTGAGCTCCATACATTCATGATCGTGCTAAATGTAATAACATCTGGTTTGATCCTGAATTCTTCCATCAGTGTTAGTGCCTGTCGAATTATGCTTATTGTAAGCGAATGATTAACAAGAAATATGATATAAGTGGTGCTTTCAAATGCTATACAACCAACTAAAGGAATATGTGAAACCTTTGTTTACATTTTCTCAAAATTGGGACGAACAAAGCTATTCTATTCTACCTAGTTGTACTCTTATCCTTGTGGAAGTGTCAAAATGAACATGAAAGTAAAGCAAAAACTTGCAACACATTGAGCTAATGACAGCAGATTAAAAATTCCATTCTTCATTTTCCTTTATTACACAATCTCAGAACAGGAACAACTAAAAATCATCCAGTTAAAAAGATTAAAATATGGTTGTTTAAAGAGAAAGCTTTACAATTTGAATCTCTCTAGTGAAGGGAAAAGTTCAAACCCAAAACACAGTTCTCTGTCTTCATAACATAAAGTTTGCCATTTATTGTCCTTGAGATATCTGGAAGCCCTTTAGGCATAGCACATATTGAAATACCTAGTGCATGATTCCAGCAGCATTTTAGCCCTTTGAAGCATGTTATAATATACAAGATGAAGGAGAAGAACTTTCAGAAGAAAAATATACAAGAGTAAAGGTCGAAACTCACCTCATCAACTCCTTCAGTGACTTTAACATCTAGAAAACCTTTTATCAGAGAGTTGAAAACAACAGGATTTGGATGTACTCCTAACTCCTTCATTCTGTACACAAACCTTAAAGCTTCCTACATATTACCTTCTTTGCAATATCCAGTCACAATGATACCACAAGTACGCTCATTGGGAGCCACTTTGTTGTTTTGCATCTCAAGTATCATCTGCTCTGCCATATAAGTCTCCCCAGTCTGAGCATAGGCTCTTGCTATTGTATTATAAGTGACAACATCAGGATACATACCAGATGCAACCATTCTATAAACCACATTCCATGCTTCTTTTATGCTCTTTTTGTTGAACCAGGCTCTAATTAGGATATTATATGTCCTATTATTTGGTTGCACATTTTCATCCTGCAACATTAACTCTAGTAATTTTGAAGATTCTTCAGCGTCGCCAATATTTCCATATCCTTTCATGAGGGTATTAAAAGTACTGGTTGTGGGCTTGCATCCACTCTTCTTCATTTTCTGAAAGATTTTCATGGCTTCTTTGACATTTCCAGACTCAGAAAAGGCATTGATCATAGCATTGAAGAGAATTGAATCAGGCTTCATACCATTCTCTTCCACTTTGGAGATAAGTGAAATAATGGACTTGTATCGTTTCTGATGGGTTAAGGCAGACACAAGAGTCGTGTAGGTCACAAGAGTTGGTTTATGTCCATCTTCTGTTAAGCTGTTGAAAATAGAATGAGCTTCTTGATGCTTCCCCTTCTCAATCAGAATATTCATCAGTTTTGTTCTTGCACGAACGGTCCGGTAACCATTGTTTCCCAAGCAAACAATGCATTTGGATTTAACTTCAGAGTCTGCAGAAAATGTAACTGAAAGCAACTGGCCCTTCTCATATATATGTGATTCCTATGACATTCAAACAAATCTTAATTTG